CATTCCGCTTCTCATCCTGTCGTTCGTCACTGCATCTGCTAGGTCGCAGTACTCAAAAAAAATGCGCATTTGCCTTCCCCATGTCGCTTCCCGTGATGGCCTCATCTCGACTCCCTCGTCTTGCGCCTTCTTGTGTGACTCTTTTGTCAATTAACTTTCCTCCGCCGATTCCCTCCTTATAGGACTACTTTCTGCTGTCCTCCCTCGTGAATCCTCGTTGCGATTCTCTTGCTGTCTATCTCCGGGATCTCGAGAACTCTCGCTCGGGTTTTGCGCGCCCTCTTACTGCAACAAACCTCCCCCGCCTGATTATCTACAGGCTGGCGGGGAAGGGACACCTCCCAGCTGTCTAGTTGTCTAGTTATTACTTAGCTGCTTCTCTCATAGACTTCTCGCAGAAATCATGTAAGCCTCTCTCTCAACCCAGCATCTCTTCATAAATGCATATCATGTCCTCTAACCCAAGTCCCGACTCCTCGCCGCCCACCAGGAAGTTCGGAAAGCAGATCCAAAGGCGCCAGCTCGACCTTCCCGAATATGCTGTTAGTTTTCTCAACTACAAGGCGCTTAAGAAGGTAAACTAGCTCTACAGCCTCTCGCCATTCCCCACTAATGTCTATGTGCTGATACTTCTTTTTTAGCTCATCAAACAACTAAGCGCAACGCCCACTATCCCCGCCCAGAGTTCCTCAGCGGATCCCGTCCCGGAGATTGTCGACCCCCAGGCTGCTCTTCGTGCGAATAAGGATGTCTTCTTCTTCCGTGTGGTATGCTAAGTGACCTTTGCTTGGGACATTCTTCATGCACAACAGCGAAGGCTTTGGTAACATCCGTGGATGGGCATTTGCTAACGGTGATATTTCCCCTGCATCTTGTCTCTAAATAGGAACGAGAAATTGAGAAAGTGAATGTTTTTTATCTTCAAAAGGAAGCAGAGGTTCGCTCTTGTCTTTTTTTCTTTCCAGTTTTAATCACTGCGATGAGGAGTATGCCGAGCTATGCTCCTTGAAAATGAAGAAGGACTAGGTTTTGTTAGGTCCCTAAAGGTGATAACATCACTAATAAAACAACAACCCATATACACAGTTCACGTTACGCCTCAAAACGCTTCTCGATAAAAAGCGGCTGATACAGTCGAAAAAATGGGTTACCAATTCAAAGGCTCCAGCAAACTTTGTCACCCTCTTCGAAGGTCTTCAGCAATTTGATGGAGACCTGAACAAACTTCAAGTGAGTCATCTCTTCCCTGGCACAGATCGATACAAATCTATGAGCTTTTCAAGTCTCTAAACTTTGGTGACCACATAACAGCAATTCGTCGAGGTCAACGAAACAGCCGTTTCCAAAATTTTGAAAAAGGTTTGTCCCTATATCCCTCAGTACGCTCGCTAGAGGCGCC